ATCACGAACGGTGGCAGAGACCAGCCAGACGCGTTAACGCACTCGATCACTGTAACCCACTCCCGATTGCCTAGCTGTACGACGACTGCCCGACTAACTCTATTAGAGCTAGTTACGACTTTTGACGTGCTAGCGACGCCTATTGCAAACCCAGTCTCGTCAAAGTTATAGATATCCTGGTCTAGCACGCCGTACGTCTGGCGCGTCTCCTCTACCAACTTAAATCACGCTACGATTGTAGCAGGATCTTCGTACTGGGCGCGCTGGCTGTTAAGCCTTCTACTCCACTTCGTCTGAAGCTCTAGCTGGCTCTGGATAAAGCGCGACACCCATTTCTTGCCTACAGGTTGTGGAGGTGGATCTTGGCCACGCGCGGCGAGTAACGCGTCTGCCATCCGTCGTACGTCGATAATATGGGGTGGAAAACCACGACGGTCAAGGTCTAGGATCCACTGCACAAGGGACTGCTCTTTAATGGACGATAGCTTACGGTTAACAGACCGTAGCTCTAGTCGTGGCTGAGTACTATGAACGCGAGTATGTAGTGTTGATTGTGGCACATTATATGCTTTTGCAAGAGCACAGATAGATTGTTTTAGATTATTACGATAAGACGCGATAGCAAGGCTTATTCTGCCTTCACGAGAAGTATGTATAGAACGTTGTTGTCGCGGCATGGTGGTGGTTGTGTAGAGCGTCGCGTCAAGTTTGGTGGGGTGCCCAGCTTACTGATCTGCCCAGCTTACTGACCCTGCACTATAGCGATACTATCAACGCCAATACAGGACAGGACACCAGAGAGCTAGAAGGGCAGATCCAGAATGAGATAGAAATGGAATCTACCCAGCCAGCTACGCCTACGCAAAACCTAGAAACTCCTAGCGCTTTTGAAATCCCAATCCTCCCACCAAATAAAAGACGAGCCAACTTCTCACCAGAGAAGACGCGAACTCACGGACGCACTAGGAGCAACTTTTCTCCTTTTATTAGCTTGACGCTAAGAAATCCTTTCTCTAGCCAAAATAGAACTCCAAAGGCAGCTACAGTAGAAGAGGCCCTTGAGATTGCTAGAAACCTAGTAATTCAAGCAGCTAATCTAGCTGAAAACAATCCAACCCAGCAGACCAGTCTACTAGATCTAGTAGAAATATTCAGAGATTTTACAGAGAACGGCAGAGTAAATAAGAAAAACTCCGCTATTCTAGAGGACCAAATCCACGCACTGTCTAACGTTTCAAAAGAACTACGAGAGAAAGTTAGACGCCTAGGAAAGCCACCCGCAGCCGCCAACCACTCTACCCAACTAACTCAAGCTACAACACTAGCCAAAACGTCGTACGCAACAGTAGCAGCTAGCAACAAAGAATAACCTTGGATTAATGTCCAACACAAAAACTAGAAACCTACCCAAAAGGAAAAAACCCCTAGTCTATTAGATCGCTAGATAGTACTAGTTAATAAAACACTAGCTGCTTTTGACGCCCTAAAGCTAAGGAACGCTTTTAACAAAGCCTTTACTACTAAAGGTGGGGTCCAAGCTCCAGTAGTCGCCTTAGTAACGATCTTAGGGAAAGGCAATAAGATTGTTACTACTACGCCAGCCTTCTCAGCAAAATATCTCCTAGACAACTAAAATATCTGGCAAGATATCACGCAGTTTCAGACCGCGCAGCCAATCACGCCTTAGTTTAAAGTAGTTATCCATAAGCTACCAACAAACCACAGCCTAGAAGTCTTAAAAGAAGAGATTAAGACTTTTAACAAAGGGCTAAAAGTAGTAGGAACACCTTTCTAGCTTACCCCTGAAGCTAGAAGAGAGAATCAAAACGTAGGATCTGCCTGCGTTTCTTTTGCTACTGAAGAAGAAGCCTAAAGAGCTATTAGAGGAAAGCTCTATATCCTTGGACAAAGTCTTAGAGCAGAAAAGCTTAGAGTTATTAATAACTCTAAATAGTGCTCAAAATGTCAAGGTTTTGGACACCTAGAGACTAGATGCTCTAAAGTAGCCTGTCAGATCTGCAGCGAAGCCCACCATACTAGTCTCCACAAGTGCAAGTCTTGTACTAGCAAAGGCAAAGCCTGCGTACATACTATCTTTAAGTGTGCGAACTGCAGCAAACCACACGCGGCTAATAGCCAAGACTGCAAGATTCTACAAGCTAAAGTCTCTAAAACAACTACTTTGTTAAAATAGAATGTTAAAAGTTCTACAAATAAATGTTAATAGAAATAGCCCTGCTACAGAAAGCGCGCTAATTCTAGCCATTCAAGTAGACGCTAAGATACTAGCTATACAAGAGCCCTGGTTAGTAAAGGAATCTACCTACAAGAATACTAGATCAGTAGCCCACCAGGACTATACTCAGATAATACCTACCCCAAGAGATAACTCTCTTAGGCCTAGAGTACTTTTCTATATCAGAAAGGATCTAGAAGTAGAAACTATTCCTTTTATTAGCGACGACAACGACTTCCAAGCTATTAAAGTACTAGCTACTCCTTCTAGCTTCTATATCTACAACATTTATAACGAGAAGAGCCTCTAAGAGAGGCTAGAAAAATCAACAATCCAAAGGCGGCTACTACAAGAAACACTACAAGAAAACTTAATTATTCTAGGAGATTTCAATACCCACCATCCTAGATGGAGCTTAAAAGATTGCAGCCCTAGTACACAAGTAGAAGATCTAGTAGAGTGGATAGATACCCAAAATCTTACTCTACTAAATACTCTAGGAGTAGGCACATTCTTTAGAGCTCATATGCGACAAGAAAGCGTACTAGATCTCACTTTTGCAACAAATAATATAGCAACTAGTATCCAGGACTGGCAGACTATACCCAAAGTAGGATCTGATCACCACGCTATACTGTTTAGTATTAGCACTTATAGCCAGCTGCCTAGCCAGCCAAAACGATATAATACTAGACAAACAGACTGGAATACGTTCTACAAGGAGCTAGAAAAAGAGATTAAAGCTCTAGACCTAGAAGAGCGGCTACTCCAACTACCACGCCCCTCTAACTATACCTCAAGAAAGCTTATTCTAGAACAACATACCCCTCTAGAAGCCAAGCTAGACCAACTAGGAGAGGATCTTACAAAGGCTATCCAGAAATCACTAGAAACGTCAACTCCACTAGTTAACCAAAAACCAAAGCCAAAACCTTAGTGGACTAGTGATTTAAGCAGCTAAAAAAGAGATCTAAACAGGGCCTACAGAGCCTACAAGAAGGAAGCAGCAAAAGAAAATAATAGCTCACTCTACCAATAGAAACGAGAGTATCTAAGTACGAAAAATAGATATCTAAGAGCTATTAGACGGGCTAAACAGGATCACTGGGAGACTTTCCTACAAAAAGACTCACCAAAGGAAATCTATAAAGCTATAGCATATACAAAAGACAACCTTAGTACTCGAATACCTACTATTAAAAGCAAGGAGTCGTTTACTAAAAAATGCAAAGCTTTTAGAGAGGATCTTTTCCCCCTACTACCTACTACAGCTACCCCGTCTTTCTACACCTATAAAGGAGATAGAAAGTAGGATTGGCCCGCTCTTACAAGGAACGAGCTCTACTTTGCCTGCAATAAAGTAAAGGCTACCTCACCTGGGCCTAATCTTATTAGTCAAGATATTATCCAAAAGGTCTACCAAACGCACTCAGAAACGCTATTTAAGATATACTCTATCTTCTTTAATCTAGGCTACCACCCAAAGTGCTGGAGAAAAGCAAAAGGAGTTATCTTGAAAAAGCCAAATAAACCAGACTACTTAGTTCCAAAGGCCTATAGAGTAATCTCACTCCTAAGCTGCCTAGGCAAAGTACTAGAAAGGCTAGTAGCTAGAAGACTAGGGACACTAGCAGAAACTACAGATCTACTCCACCCCTCATAGATGGGTGGAAGACTGAAGAAATCTGCTATTGACGCTGCCCTACTCTTCTATAATAATATATAGCTACAAAAGCAAAAGTATTAAGTTACAACTACTATATTTCTCGATATTAAAGGCGCCTTTAATTACGTCTCTAAGAACAAGCTTCTAGAAGTCATAAGAGACTAGGGCCTACCTTGTAGCCTATTAGCGTGGACAAAATCCTTTCTAGAAAACAGAGAGCTAGAGCTATCCTTCGACGGACAAACAGAGAGCCTATAGGAGATTCTAACAGGAACCCCCCAAGGAAGTCTAGCGTCTCCAATCCTATTTCTTATCTACTTAAAACCATTATTTAAAGCAATTCAAACAAACGACCGCATATACTCCTCCTCCTATATAGACGATCTACAGATATCTATATCGTCTACGTTAGTAAGGAAAAACATTAAGCTACTAGAAAAGACGATTAAGAACCTCTTTACACTAGCGAAGGAGTCGGCTATCCAGTTCAATAGCTCAAAAACTAAACTAGTTAACTGGACAAGATCAAAAAAAGATCAAAGCAGAGTACTTACTCTACCTAGTCAGGAATCAGTTTAGTCTAAAGAGCTAGTTAGATAGCTAGGCGTCTACTTTGACTGCGGTCTCAATTTCAAACAGCATAGCTACACTAGAAACCAGCAGGCTAGCGCAGCTTTCTACCGATTAAGCAGACTAGCTAAATCAAACAAAGGCCTTTCGCCAAGAGCAGTACGACAGCTATACCTAGCCTGCGTAACTAGTGTAGCTGACTACGGGTGCCAAATCTTCTAGAGAGAGCAAACAGCAGCCGAAAATCAAAGACAAAAGCTTCAAAACCAAGCTTGTAGAAAGATTCTAGGATCTTTTAGAACCTCACCTGCTATACCTAGCGAGGTAGAAGCAGCGCTATACCCCCCTAGAATAAGACTAAACAATTCTCTACGACAATACGCCTTTAGAGCTTTAAAACTAGCTCCATCCCACCCACTCCATATTGCTATATCTAGAGGCAACCAAGGGAAACAGCT